GTCAAGTCCTTACCTCCCATAGCCATCTGGCCCATCCGTATCTCCTGCTCTCTCTGAAAAACAAAAATACTCAAGACAGTCCATGATACCATTGAGGACCGCACACTATGAGAAGTAGATAGAGTGATAATACATCCCAAGAGCACTGAGATTAAGCTGAGGCATACCAATAGCTCAAGTTCACAGAACTATTAGGACACAAGCCAAAGTACTACGAACAGAAAGAGAGGTGAGGCCAGGTGCAGTGGCTCACACCTGTAATCCTAGCACTCTGGGATGTGGAGACAGGTGGATTGCCTGAGCTCAGAAGTTCAAGACCAGCCTGAGCAAGAGCGAGACCCCATCTCTACTAAAAAAGAAAAACTCGCTGGGCATTGGGAAGGGCATCTGTAGCTCTAGCTACTTGGGAAGCTGAAGCAGGATTACTCAAATCCAGGAGTTTGATGTTGCTGTGAGCTATAATGCCCCAGCACTCACTCTACCCCCCACCCCCAAAAAGAAAGAGAGGTAAAAGGAAAGGGAAAGATAGCTGACTCCTAGGGTTCTAACTTCAACAGCTACGAGAATGACAGACCAACAAAAGCTGGTATATGACTTAATATATCTCATCCTATAGTAACTCAATCTTAACAGCATACAGTGGCCCCAGCTTTTCATCCTAAGCTGCCTGTGTGGAGAGAAGAGCTCCCCTTCAGATCTTACCTCTCCTTCCCATGAAATCTTTTTTCTAAAGAGCTTCATAGCATAGAAAAATGGTCATAACCTGGTGTCCTAGCAGACAATTTATGGTGGGTTTATCATATCACAACTGGCCTGGCACATCATGGGAACATGGGAGATATACCGCATCAGGGAAGGTTCCCTTGAATCCTTCCTGCTGTCGCCGCATCATTTCTTCCTGTTGCCGCCGCATCTCTTCCTCACGGCGCCTGCGCTCCTCCTCCTGCCTAGAGAGTGATCAAGGTATTTAAGACAGAGGCATTCTAGAACTTGAGTAGATTATCTTAGTAGGGGACTCAGCCAAGAAGACTAGCCTACTGAAAACTATCACAGTTCACCAGGACACTCACTGTTAAGTGTGCCCATCCCTAAGGCAACCCCTAAAGGAAGTTTAAGAAACCATGTAGAGGCTTTCTCTTGAGTGTAGCCCCAGGTAATTCCTAGAATCAAGAAGAGCTAAAACGTCCCCTCTTTCCACAGGGAGACTTGGAGGCTCTACACCTGTGACTCAAGCAGCTAAGGCGCCAGCCACATACACCTGAGCTGGTGGATTTGAATCTAGTCTGGGCCCGCCAAACAACAATGAAGGCTGCAACCAAAAAATAGCCAGGCATTGTGGCAGGCGCCTGTAGTCCCAGCTACTTGGAAGGCAGAGGCAGGAGAATCACTTAAGCCCAGAAGTTGGAGGTTGCTGTGAGCTGTGATACCATAGCACTCTACCCAAGGTGATAGCTTGAGGCTCTGTCTCAAAAAACAAATAAAAAAAAAAACAAAACAAAGGGAGACTTGGAGAAGTAGTCAGGAAATATTTGCCAACACATCTACAAATGCATGAGGTAGCATTACCTGTCTAAAAGACATTACCTTTTAGAGTTGTCAGAGAAAAAGGATTCAACAAAATAAGTTACCTGAGCTCCAGCTGCTTTCGTTTTTGCACCTCTTGGTTATGCAGTTCTTCCATCCTCCGAAGTTCTTCTTGGCGCCTCATCAAATCTAGAAAAACAACAGACTGAGAATATTACTCACTCTCTTCATATAGATAGACCTGATAATTTTCCATTAAAAAGATCAAAGAAGCGGGTGGCACCTTTGGCTCAGTGTGTAGGGCACCAGCCCCATTACCAAGGGTGGCGGGTTCAAATCCAGTCCCAGCCAAACTGCAAACAAAAAAAAGTAGCCAGGCATCGTGGTGGGCACCTGTAGTCCCAAGTACTCGGGAGGCTGAGGCAAGAGAATCGCCTAAGCTCAGGAGTTGAAGGTTGCTGTGAGCTGTGTGACTCCATGGCACTCTATCCAGGGCGATAAATTGAGACTCTGTCTCTACCCAAAAAAAAGACTGAAGAAGCAAAGAGGGTATGATCCCCGAGGGGCCTTCCAAGGTATCCAGATTCAAAA